GAAAAATGCATGTCCTAATATGCAAATGACTAATACAACACATACAAAATGCAACTACTAGATTCGGTTTATTACATGACATATGGCTTAATTCAAAGCATGCGTTTAGCATACATATTCAAGTTAGTAAGAAATGGTAAAAATGTTAGAATGATGAATCGAACCCTATGTATACAAAAAAATGAATACAAGACATGGTAATGACATGAAAATGTAAAACATGATACTACCATTATAAGCATGTAAATAAAAGAGAGAAAGAAATAGGGGTTGGAAAGCATACACAATATTACAAATGTGCCCTCATGCAAGAGGGTCCGAATGTCCAAGTGTCCGAATTAACTACTTATTACAAATCCAAATGAATACTATCTAATTTATTACAAAAATTACAACAATAATATGTAGAGAATGAACAAGAATCCCACACGCGCTGACGAAGACAGCCCTCAGAAATTGCTCTGTCTTCCTTCTGGGAAACTGTTCTGTTTTACCCTCAACCACTACTCCTTGTTTCAACAAAAGTGCTCTATTTAACAAACTTTGGAGCCCGGCCGGGCCCAAACAAATCCGGTCGTGCCCTATTTTTTTTTTACAGAAGACTGTTTTTCTGCTCTAAGGTGAAAACAGTACAGACAAACAGAGTGTTCTTAAGCCATATTTGTCATTTATGCCCTTCTCTGTCATAGAGATGTTCAAGGGAGAAGCAGATTCGGGTCCCAAACCATCAAGTATCGCAAGTTGATTGCGTGATGATTGGAGAAGCAACCGGACAAGAATTTACTAAAAACTAAAAGACTAACAGTACCTCCCTCCTATCATGAAGCCGATTTCAAGAAAGGGGGTAGACACGTCTTAAGAACCATCAAACAACAAGAAATTAGTATGCGATGACTCTAGAAGCGACGGATTTAGTATAACGTCTGACCAAATCTAACCAATTTTATTAGCTCTTTATGCTGGTTTCAATCCAATTTTTAAGCCAATTTTATCTTGCCTCTTCATTCTTATCTTTTATTTCATTTTGTCCAAAAGTAATATTTGCGTCCACTAAGTCCAAAAGCGATAAAGATGAACAAGCATAGCTTAACCTGAGAAATGAACTTTCCAAGCCATTTTCTACAAGGAAAATCACAAAGAATGAATCAAACCTATTCCTGAGCGATAATGGACTCGGAGTCAAACTCAAGAAGGGCAATAATGACCTCAAATCCAACTCGATGACAAGCTATGATGAAACCTTTCTTTGAGATTTCCAAAGGTCTAAATTAAACACTAGTCCCTTAGAAACAATGCACCCGCGATTAGGAGGAGTATCAAACAAGGGATCGTTCTCAACATAAGAGAGATGTAATGCCCTGGTAATGAATCTCAAAAGAGATTAAACCATTTACCACATGAGGGGTCTCTTTCTTATACTTTGAACGGTAATCCCATGTCAGATACCACTCTTAGTCAAAAGAAGCAAAGAAATGAGGGAGATTGCAGAGATGATTATGTGAAATTGATTATTGCAAAAGTGATATTATTCACTTGAAAACTAAGTAAACAAGACTATTAACTCAAATGGATTGGTGTCTAAGGCCTAAACAACCAAATCCATAAGGACTTACAACATTACAAACATGATATTTAAAGAATAAACTAATTAAGCGAATTAAACAACCCTTAAAACCAAAAAAATAATATTTAAAACACTTCAAAAATGGTGGAAGAAGTAAATGAAAATATGAGAGGACAAGTTAGGCAAGCAAGCCTAAGAAGGGGTGGCTAACCCCTCCACTTTTTGTGAATTAAATCACATATTTCAGCCCTTGAAAATAGCTTCCAACAGTGCAAAAACTCAAAGAAAATGAACAAAAGGATTAGTATAAACAAAGGAAAGAGATGGTAAGAGTTATACCTCTTTAAAGAGGATGTATTGTTACAAATCAAACTTGACCCAAAGCACTCTCAAGCCTTTGAATTATGGTGTCAAAGTCTCAACAAAAGTTCCAAGTCTAAGCTCTAATGGTGTATCTAATTTGTAAGTATAACTCAAAGGTGATACAAGAGAAAAGGATGCCTTGCAATGGAAGGAGGAGCTCTCAAATGTCTTTTAGGGTGTTTGAAAATTCTCTAACCCTCAAAACAGAGGTGAGGCCTCATATTTATAGAATTTGAGGCAAATAGGTCAAAAATATCTTCAAAAAAACAACAGCTGACGAATTCCCATCAATTGTCTTGTTTATCGTTAATGAGACCGGGCCGGGTCCAAAACTAAAAGGTCGGGTCTAAAAGGAATTGAAACCCAACCGGGTCTAAACAAGTCACAGCCGAATCTAAACAAACCCGGTCGTGTCCAAAAAATTACTTTCAAGCCGGACTTTAAATGGACATTTCTCCCTCATCCAAACTCAGTTTAAGGTGATTCTTGAGTCTAAATTGAAGCCGTGGAAGTCGAATTTCCAATGATGGTGGTCTCACATCTAAATTCTAAGTGTACAAAAAGATATGCCTAATTTAGTAAAGGTTGTTCATTTTTTTCTTAACGGTTTGATGCTCAACCTTTTCCTAAACTAGTTTTCTTCCATCCCCTCTTATTTTCTTCAACTCCAAACCTATAAATAAGATGTTTTTAAAAAAAATTCAAAGAGTTCACCTCCCTTCCATTTATTTCCACTATGTCCTTACTCGTTGAAAAGTGCAATATTTTAATCAAAATGCGAGCCTCGGAACATCATAGAAACATTTGAAAAAACATTTTGAAAAGAGGGTTTCAAGATCTAAAATAGTTTGACCCAAATGGGGTGTAAGGTTTGGGATTAGAGCTTGAATTCAAATTTGTTCGCTGAGAATTCAAAAGATTGCACAGTGTAACTTTCATCATCAGGTGTTTGGAATAAAGCGCCCAAGTCTTAGAAGCGGTCAAAATGTGGTATCTACATATGCCGACTGATCTCTCTCTCTCTCTCTCTCCTCCTTTCTCTCATTTTTTTGGGGGGAGGCAATCTGGATTGTTGTTGAATTGTTGGATCTGGATTTGGATTAGGAGATACGGTTTGTTCATTTTTCAGATATGTTGTTAGATTATTGTTATCTATTGTTTTCATTGATGTTGATGATGTTTCCAACAGATAATGGCAAAAAATGTGTATGTGTGGTTATATCTCTATGTACGTGCTTATTTGATGAAATGTTTTGAACAAATAGATTGTTATTGTGATTGTTGTTGTTGTTGTTGTTGTTGTTGATAAGATCTCATTGGAGATTTTCTTTTTGTTTGGTTTGGAAGAGAGTGGAGAACATATAGGTTGTTTTGTTATTGTTGATGATGATGATAAATTTCAATAGATAAGGGAAATATGTTTGGCAAATTTCAACAGGTGAAAAAAAAATAAATTTAGTAAATTTTAATAGATTACAAAATTGAACAAATAAAAAAAATTTAGTTGAAAAATTGGAACATATAGTTGAAAATTTTGAACAAATAGATATAAATTTGAACAGATAAGAGCAAAAAATTGAACAAATAGTTACAAAATTAAATAGATAAAATATATATATAGTTTGAAAATTTTGAACAAATAGGGAAAATTTTGAACATATAAGAAAAAATTGAACATATAGATATAAATTTGAATAGATAGTCAACAAAAAGTCAAATAGATAAAATAAAATAAAAAGTCAATGGGTAAAATTGAAAACAAAATATTCTTTAGGACTTTTCACCAAATTATTTCGCAAAGTGTGGACCTCTATTCAATAAAAAAATATTCTTTAGCTCTAATGTCTTATACTCTCTTTAGATTGGATTCTCACCAATTTTCTTGATGATATATTGATGTGGCATTTTAATTATAAATAATAATAAATAAATAAATAAATAAAACCAAAAAAGAGAGAGATGTGCCACATAGGAAAGAGAAAAATTGAGAGCAAACACTACTTTTAATAACATATATACATGTGTGTGTGTGTGTGTGTGATGTTTATACATATTTACTTGCCCAAAAAAATGTGTATACATATTAAATGATGAGAATTTTTATTTATTTTTTTCAAAATGTTTGGTCTTTTTTTTTTCCCCCCCTTCGTTTATCTATGGTGTGTATTTATGGTTTTTATGTTTTACCCTTAGTTGAAATGGAAATGACAAAATTAGATTGAAATACTTTTAAAATATTTCAGATTAAATTGACGCAATTTAAATATTGGGACCAAAAAAACACATCGCGTATTTTTTATACTAAAAATGTAATTTTTTTAATTGCATTTACACATTTTACTCTTGGGTTTTAACTCCATCCATGGACAGAGTTAGGTTGGAAGCTTAATTCAAAATACTTTTTAAACATAGGAGATTACTTTGGTACAATTTAAATATTGAGAACTAAAATAATACAAATAGCATACTTTAGGGACAAAATATAATTTCTTTAATTGCATTTACATATTTACTCTTAGATTTAAATCCATGTTATTATGGACAGAGTTAGGTTTGGGGGACCAATTCTGAACACTTTTAAAACAATGGGAACTAAATTAATCGAATTTAAACTATAGGGATTAAAAAGGTGGTTAACCCTTTGGTTTAATCTTGAAGAAATTAAATGTTACAAGAAACAAGAGAGTAATTCAATATACTCATATATATTTTTTTATTCTTTATTTTTTAATTCAAACAAACAAAGGCAGAGTGGTAGCAATTTTTCAAGTTGATATGATTTAAACTTTTCAAATTCAAGTGGACGGCCTAGATTTTTCTAACTTGGTGTTGAAGTAGGAACTTCAAATTCAGTAAATCTAATCAAAATTAGTTCCTCCATATAACGGAAAGTGTTATTATTACTGCATTAAACTTGCGAGAAATACAGTAACTTTAATGGAGAATAAGATATGAAAGACAACAATTGCATAAATTCAATTTTGTTAGAATTGTGCATGTTATTTTAGGTGAACCCACACAGATAAATCAGTACAAACGAGTTGAACATAGAATTAGAATCCACATTATGTTATGACTCCTGAAACTCGTATGTTTCATTTTCATGCTATTTAAAAATATTCATCGGACTTAACCGATGTACGTGATTTCAAATAATTGAGCGTATCTAGAATTTATTCATAAAGCATTGAGTGGCCTTGGTTGAAATTCTACAATTGCAGATTAATGGAAAAGTCATTCTTGTACAAAACAGAAACAAAATTTTCCATTAATCATGACTAACTAAAAGTTACAATTTCTATCCTGGGGTACCCCAGAAATCTTTCTAGTACAATCACAAGGCCAAGGAAAAAGAAAGGAAAGGAAAAGAAAAGAAAAGCAAGAAGACCCAGATGGACAATCACAATTAACTGCTAATCTTTTACCCTGAAACTATCTTTTGCTGCAATTGCACATGTTTGTTACCCAAAATGTCTTCATAACTCATCAATTGCCAACCCAAACAAACTAATCCAACTTCATATATCTGGCTCTTGCCTCCTGGAACTTCCAAAGTATCACCTACATATCCCGCCAAGTCCTTCTCATAACACGAAATTGCATTTTCAAAGCAAATCTTCAGTTCCTGTTAATTTTGCAAATTCACTTTCATCTATTGCACCCTTTTTTAACTTTTTGAGCAAGCTGTATTCCCGTGCCATTTCATCTTCATCTTCCATAGTCTGAGTAGTACGTCTCTGTTTTGCTGTCTTCTTCCTCGTCGCAGAAGCTGCTGCAGTATTTGCAGTCGCTTTGGGCTTCCGTGGTTTGGGTTCTTCTTGTTGCCGAGCTTTCTTTGCTTGCAAGTTCTTTTTTCTCTGTTTCTCCCGAGATTTATCCCTAAATGGTAGAGTATTATTAGCTAGTACGCAGAACAACATTCGAAAAAAGAACATGTAACAGAAACAACAGTTGTGTTAAAAACAACCTAGGTGATGATTGTGCCATGACATCAATAATTTTCTTTCCAATTGTTAGCAAATGTGAAAGAAAGAATAACATGCATCGATTAGGGCACACAAAGTAAACTAAGGCAAGAAAGGTCTCAAAACAAGATTTCAGATGCAATTTTGGTTGCAAAGGAAAATGAAACATTTTGAACTATAAAACTAAGGCACCATGTTTCATTCCTTCTGTTTTCAAACTTTTTCAACATTTCAGAAAGTGAGGCCTTTTAGTAAAATTTACACTGTTTGGATCATGAGGTGAGAAAAGAAATGAAATGATGGTAGTTTCTCACCTAGGAAAGAAAAGAAGAAATGATTGTGGTTTCTCATCTTCTTGTATTTACAAGACATGTGTCTTCTATTTACATTGTATTTAGAATTGTAATTTAGGTATTACTGATTTTGGTTTCTCACCACTTTTGGTGAGAAACAAAACTTAAGTTTGATCTTTCTCACCATTTCTCACATCTTTAATCATTCAAACAAGTGATGAGAAATCTTATTCTCTCCATTTCTTTTCTTTCTCACCAAAGCCCTCAATCCAAGCGGATTGTTAAGGAGAGATGTCCATTCATATCATATGGGAGGTCCCAACACCTATAGCAGTTTCAAAGTAAACTGCCAATAGGGGTTAAGGAGCCACTGACTCCAAATAAAATAAAGCAAAAGATTTAAGTGTCCTCACTTGTACTTGATCTCCTCCAAAATGATATTTTCGACTGGAGCAAAGCCCGCGGTAGAAAGTGAGTAGCGCTTCACCTCAGACAACAAAGGGAGCTGCAATAAGCCAAAACCCATACCCAACTTCCCTACCTCAAGTTCTTTCCACCTGCAGAAAATAGAAGACAATTAAAAACACAGATACTAGAGAACATTAAGGGGTTGTTTGGGATAATCTAAATAAGTGTACTTGTTGACTTTTTACGAAAAAACGTGAAATATGGGTTGGGTTTGAAGTGATGTGGAAGAGAGATGATATGATTTAAATAAGATGATGTGACTTAAATAGGATAGTGACTTTTTGACTTTTTGGATTTTTTGTATTACGCCAAACTTGGCCAAAATTTCTCAAGTGCTTGCAATCAGTACATATGCACCAGAAACAATTATCACAAACCTATTTTAATATATTAAAATACCAGTGCAGCCATATCAACTCCTTCCAGCACACACAATCTCAATATAATCACCAATGTCATTAAATAAAAAATAAATAAAACACACACGCACGCACACAAAATAAATGAATAAACACAATACTTCATATATATACATACTTTTTTAGAGATTTGCAAATCAATAAAAAGTAGATAAAGTAATTGTGAAAACACGGAAATGCAAGTACAAATTGTAGCTTTACTTGCACCAGAGCACAGACCTCGCTTATACCTCTATATTTTTGTATTTACTTTATCTACTTCTCACTGATTTGTAATTCCCTTGACTTTTTACACTACCTTCTAGATTTTTATTCTTTTTTTCTTATACAAAATTGGACTTTCATATTAATTGTCATAATTTTATAAACGTATCTCATTCTTTTAGCACAATGAAATATGAAAAATATTTAATATACAGAATTTTCATACAAAAAAGTCATACATAATGATATGGTGGTAATGATATCTTTGAATTATAGAACACAGTAATTAACTTTTTTATTTACAATGAGTGAATATAAATGGACCACATCATTTTGTATACAAATACCATTTGTATAGCCCTACCCACAAAATACCATCCATGACAACCAAACTTGGAGGCAATTCTTGAACCACAAAGACACAACCCACCAATGAAAAATATAATCACATAAAAAGCAAAGAACAAAAAGAAAATAGTATGCCAATTGACCTCAACAAATTTAGTCTTATGGTGTACATTTTCCAACAGCCAACAACTTAACTTCATTCAAATGGCTGTGGAAGCAACAGAACAAGTGCAGAAGATAATATGGCGGGCAGCTGAACTGACTTGATAGTTCTTAGGTTCAAAAACTGAATAAGCAGTTATGGTGTTTGTATTGATTGTGGACTTTAACATAAAGCGTATGGGGTTCTCATTCTGACCAACAGTTATAGAACGGAAAAACAATTCGTACAAATGTATTGAATAATTTTGGAATTAAGAATAGTGTTACACAACTTCACTTCCATGTTCACACCAATGACCATTTGGCTCTATATAATAGTATAGATAACAAGAGACCCTGCTAATACCTGAAAATGTAAGAGCAGTGATGCTCTTTATAAGCGCGGATGTAAGAAACAAACGATCTGAGCCCTTTTTCCATGACATCGCGGTCCTTTTTTGCAGCAGACCGTATCTGAAACAGATAATTTCCAACACTTATAATACGATAGGTAAACTAACAAAGGAAAACTAAATAATGCTAAATCAAGTAGTTTAGTGAAAGGGCATAGAGAAGGATAGATTCAGCAGACTTCGTTCTTTATTTGTATTTTGGGTGAGTGCCCTTGTCACATTTTTCTAATAAAACTTATATTACTTTTCCAAAAAAGTAGATTGAATGCAAGGGGGTGAGGAATACTCTTATAAAATGAACACAAAACTCCCTCTTGTGCCAGACAAACTGATTGGAAAGCAAAGATATAGCATAGTAAAAAGACAAAGTGGAACCGGTTAATGACACAAAGAAAAAAACATGAATATAGCAAAAAACTACAATTAAAAGACAACAAGAAAACATATATAAACAGAGGGGGGAAAAAGAAAAAGAAAGAATATACAGTAATAAGGAAGATTCTCACATCAGACACAATATCAGGAGCTTCATCAGAGCATTTTCTTTCTTCAAGTGGAACCCTTCTTATACGCAAAAATTCTATATAAGCTTCCTCCTACATTTATAGAGGCAAATATAATAAGTAAAACAAAAAAAAAAACAAGGAAAACATTTAAATGAAACACTAAAATGTTATTTTAATGAGTTACAAATTCAACTTACAATGCCTGCCAAATCTTGACCCTTCAATATTTTGTCAATGTCATTTAAGAACTGTGACAAAATTAAAGATTTTACAACCTTTGGTAATAGAAAGACAATGGAACTTCCTTCCCGTCCCATCCGAGCAGTTCGACCAACTCTGTGTACGAATACATTAGGATCCTGAGGGGGGTCGTACTGCATTACCACAAAATGAAATCTTTTATCAGTTCGCAGAGTTGGTTTTTTTTTTTTTTTTTGGGACAAGCACTCTCCATCCATCTTGAATATAATAATGATATGATTTTTTTATAAATTATAAAAATAAATAAACGAACAGTGAAATGCAGAAGGCATCATGATGCAGTTGGTTGCACATGAAATCATAAAAGGAAGCACAAATAAGCATCTAGGGGTCCAGGGACCCAAACTATAAGTTTTGGTTAGTCTAAGCACCAACCATACCTGTTGAAATCAAGTTCGTATAAATAAAAGGCGAATGACCTTCAATTTTTTCAGTTGAGCTCTATTCAGTCATGAATATCTTGCTTAAAAATAAAAATAAAATATTGTATCTGGTGCACAAGGTTCCCACTTATAGTGGGGTCAGACAGCGATTAAAGGTAGACATCCATAACCCCACCTTTTAACGAAAAGACTGATTCTCATGACTTGAACCCGCAACATAAAGCTGGGGATTAATTTATGTCATGACCTCTATACTCCCAGACTTTATGTTGTGGTTAATTTAGTAATTTTGCGTAGTGCAGTGCTTAATTTAACTCCTAACCAAGAATCAAAATTTCACTTCAGTGTGTTGTTTTGATTAGATACAAGCACAATAACTATGTCATTGAACATGTTTTAAGTTTACACATACCTATACATGAAGGGTAAGTAAATTCAATGTGAGCCAACAATCATCAGACTAATATCAAACAAATTAAAGTTATCATGCACAAACTTATGTGTTCTTTTTTCAATTTTAGTTTTAGCTCTTATTAGATATTCCTAAAATGTGTTGAAACAACCTGTTTCAGAATGTTTCATTTTGGTATGTTTCAATGGAAACACTAGAATTTTGGTTTTACACTTATCTTTCAGGTTCGTTTCCTAAGAAATAGAAATGTTTCGCTCATTTCAATGGAAAGGAAACAATTTTGTTCCTTGCTCCTAACTTTCGTTGTGTCACCAAGAAGCATGTTGAGCTTAAGATGGCTTTTATGCTCACATTTTAATGACACAGTTAAGAAGATTGGCACAACAAATGAAAGCAATAAGCTTTTTCCATAAAAACTGAATGCGTAATCTTTTCTGGTCCTTCAGAAAAGATAAGGGCCTTTAGTTTCATTCCTATATTCAATGCAATGTGTTCCATGCTTATGGTAATTTGTCCAACTTATTCCTAACAGTTTGTTCCACTTAGACACGTGTCCAGTGCCCCTAAACAGGTAACTTCTCACTGACTGCAATTACTTTTCTTGCAGTGATCACTTGATTCTCTGCAATGCGTAGGTAGGTACTATCCAAATCTGGTTCAGTCCTTTCCTTCTCCAATTTGATAATACCAGCTGACCAAACTATGGGGAGTAATTTCCCACCCTTCCACACTCCAAATTTGATAAAGAGGTTGTTACATATGTATTTGTAACATTAGATAACAAAAAGAGTAAAACTATAAGGATTTATTGACCTCATATCTATTTCGAAGGTTGGTGATAAAACTTAAACAGATGAGGAAGTCCAACTAATCAAAGTCTGCGGAGAACTTGTTGGGTTTCTTCAGTGTACTATGTGAAACGCAGGAAAGCATTTTTAATCCATGGGACACCAAAACACACACTCAACAAACATACATTTTGTCCAACAAACATTAAAGTTCCAGACCAATAAATTAGGTCATAGGTCCAAGGGACTGCTATTGAAGCCCCTATGAGCTGTAATCTATTTGATATTTTTTACAGACTTGTTATGGTAGTTCTACTAGCAACTGAAGCATTTTGTAATCATCATTTGGTTTAAGTTCTAAAAATTAACTTTAATTATTTTGTACAAGACAACCTTATATAAGACATCATAAATTCACATAATCAAATAAATAAAAGAAGTTGAACATTTTAAAGACCATCTGATACATAATAAATTCATACACTAACCGACTTATCAAATATACATATATATATATATATCACAAACTAACCAAAAGCTAAATGGAGCTTTCTAACCATCAATATTTTGGTTTCTAAAATGTGACCACTCACTTTAAATGAGAATCAATAAAGTATTTGACACATGAAAAAATAGTGAGCTGGTTATATATTTTCAAAACACTATTACATAAATGTTTTTTGGGTGAATGTATTACATAAATGTTGATTGGCCAGGAAATTGAAATAGCATCTTCACTTACAAATTAATAACAGGCTACATGACACAAGTGCTCTCTAAGGTAAATTGCCAAATCAACTGAGCCAGTATTAAACTAAATGGGTCAAAATTCTGCACCAGGGATGGATAATGAAGGAGGGGAACTGATAATAGTAAGCTACCTGTATTACACAATCAACGCCAGGAATGTCAAGTCCACGTGCTGCAACATCTGTGCATAGAAGAATACCACTGGAAAGAGATGTAAATGAAGCTAATGCCTTCTCCCTTGCAGTCTAGTAGACACAATATGTAAAAAGGATGGACTGACGAATCAGTTGGGCTATTGTGAAATAATTACTGTCAGTAAATGCTAGATATTGACATAATACAACAATTTCTGTAAAGTTACCTGTTTCATCTTCCCATGAAGAGGTATTAGAGAGAAACCCTTCAGAACAGCAAGCCATGGAAGGACAACTCCCCAATAATCCACACAAGCACAAGTCATGAAATAGCTGCAGAATGTAAGGAAACCATCTAAGAAAACCCCAAAACTGCATCCTTCCGTGGCCATAATCAATGTTAGCAATCTTACACGAAGAAGTTCATGTTCAACTCACATTATAATTTTTTTAGACTTGTTCTTGATAAGGAGATCAACAAGTTGTGATGGTTTCTTATCTGCTTCGCATTGAAGATACTACAAAATTAAACAACTGTCAACAAATAACTGTTGCCCGTACCTCAGACAAAGTGTCATTTGGGCACAATAAACATTGAACAGACAAGTAATCCAATTAGAAAGTCAAATTTATGAAAGAATGTCAGACAAGATAGCAAGATAGACACCTCGAGATGAAGGCCAGAGGGTGTTTTTGAAGAGGCTAACTGTTTTGACAATGATGATTCATTGAGTGATTTTGTTTCTGCTCGAACTTCAACCCTCACAGGATTCCTCAATCCTGCCTTGGATAGCTCTTCAACTGCCTCAGTTTGAGTAGCTGAGAAAAGACCAGTTCTTCGAAGCTTTGGTAAGCGAGATATAATAGAATTTATCTGCTTCTGGAATCCCATATCCAACAGCCTATCAGCCTCGTCTAAAATCAAAATCTGTCCAACCAGCAACATTATTCATAAGCCACAAATTCTTTCCTGAGACAGCATGAGTTAACAGTTTCGTCAGATTATAAGTTCTATCCAGTGTTGTCAGTATATTACGATTCACGATAAATATCTTATGATTCGATACATTTTAGAGGAACCCTGTTATGTCATCAATACATATCTTACATTAAATGTATCTTATACGATATATGATCCGATATACAATACATGATACATGATGCGATACATGTGACATGAATACTTAAATTTCTTTGGCAATTTTGAAAAAAAAAATAATTGAACTTATTTTGTGTAAATTACTATTGTCAAAAAATTTCATTAACTTTTTAAAAAAATATATTTTGAAATGAGAAGGGTAATTTTCATTTTAGTTTTTTATCTTTTTAATAAATATATCTACTTGTATTGTATTGTATTAAACATCAATGTTTTAAAATTTTCAACTATGGACAAGCCATTTGAAAACTTGAAAGCTATAAATAAGATATTAAGACTTAAATTGTGAGTGAAAACAATACATAAAACATATTACACAATTACTAGGAATGGTATTTGAGGGTAAATTTGATATGAATAATGTACTAAAACGATATATTTTACTGCATTTTATATGTATTAACACTTCGTTTGGATCGTGAGGTGTGAAAAGAAATGAAATGATTGTAGTTTCTCACCTAAGTGAGAAAAGAAAAGAAATGATAGTAGTTTCACCTTCTTGTTTGAATGAACAATGAATAGAATAAGATACATGCATCTTTTTATTTTATTTTCTTTGTATTTGAGGTAATTTAGGTATTATAATTCTTTTGTAACAAATAATTTTGGTTTCTCACCACTTTTAGTGAGAAACAAAACTTAAGTTTTGAAGGATTTCATTTTTCACCATTTTTGACTATTTAATCAATCCAAACAAGTGATAAGAAATCTCATTGTCTCCATCTTTTTTCTTCTCTCACCAAACCCCTTCATCCAAACAGAGTGTATGTATCAATGCATACATATCTTTAATTTAAGGAATCTTAATTCTACAATTTTAGAGATTATAAAGTGTTATTCTCACAATATATTTGTTTTTTCTCTAACTTTCTATCTATTTTTGAAAGTGTTACAAAAAATTACGATACGAGATTCAAAAAGTTGACCCATTATCGAACTAACTTAGACTCACTTCAATAATCTAAACCGTTCATCTTATACAACTAAATTAAAAAATTATCCATGCAAAAAATTAAATTCATCCAATATCAATTGTCATACTATTAGATCATTTCTATCTATAAGGCCTACATGTTTTTAAGAATAGACCGTCGATTTGTTACAATATATATGTAATTTGATCATATGTGATTACTTATATCTAACCAACCTAATTTTTTGTAAACATATGCTTCTTAGTTTGTCATATAAGATGAATAGTTCAAATCATTAATATAGGTACAGATTAGTCCCATAATGCACCAACTTCACCTATGAAGTTGAGACTTCAACTTTAGCAAATCTGAACTCCGTATCATACTACTCTTGATGACTACTTATATAATCCTCCAAATCATACCCCCCAAATTTTAACGGCAATAAGAAAAATAGAAAGGGGGGGAAAAACAACAGAGAAAAAAGAAGAAAAAAAGGTGTGGAACCTGTGCGCATCATGGAGTTCTTATAATTTTGTCTTCAATAGTTATTATCCAATTTAGTATTTTATTTTTAATTATAATTTAATTAAAGTTCTTTTTTAATTAAGATTTTTAATTTAGTTAGGATTTTATCAATATTTGTTTCCATACCCTATTAGGATTCGGTTTCCTTTTTCATTAGGGATTTTAGCCTATATAATTATTAGGTTTGTATTGCATTCTTCAACTTGGAATTAATGATATTAAAGTGTTTAGATTGTGGCCGTTTTGTGTGCTAGGGTTGTAGGCCTCTTCTTCAACTGTGTTTTGTGTGCTAGAGAGAGAGAGAGAGAGAAGGCACAACAAGACCAATAATTGGGGAATTAAGGCCTTTTATTCCATTACTGCTCATTAAGATAGAGACAGGAAAGGCACAAGCAGACCAATAACGGGGGGATTTTAGGCTTTTTTACTGTTTTTTATTCCATTACTACTCATTGAGATAGAGAAAAGGGAAAGGCACAAGACCAATAACATAAGAATTTAATGCATTGTATTCCATTAGTGGTCATTGCAATCAATGTTCACCTAGGACTTACTTTCATTTTAACCTAGCCTCAGTTAATCTGTAACTTGGAGAACAACGTGCATCCTATATTCATGTATGAAATAAGAACATAATTGTGCCACTAATCTCGTCTTATATTACTAACTTATCTTCATTGTACATACTACGATTAGTTTCTATTTCTTTTTTCTCTTCTTTATAACGTAAAGTTATCAATCACTAGAGATCCCAAGGGGTTGCAACTAGAGCAAACACCAAATATGCATTGATTTTTTACTTATAAACAACATATATCTAGATAGGGGTGCCCGCGGATCGGGTTGGATCGGATGGTCTTTCATCCACTATCCGTCCGAACTTAGGCAGATTGGGAAAAATCAATCTGCATCCGTCCATTTAGTTAGCGGATGCGAATTGAGGAGACTGTGAGCAAGTTGGGGGGTGGGCGCAAATTGGTTTGGTTTGGACTTTATTGTTTTGGACCTTACTATTTTCCAGTAATTCTTTACTATTTTCTGCCCAAAAATTTTGATTGTTCATTTTTTATAATAAAAATAAAGGCCCAATTTTCATATTTCATAAATAGCAAATATAATTACAAAATAAAATGTTCTTTTTTTAACAGAAAGCATAAAAGCATAACTTCATTTTATTAGGAGTGTTGGCAAATCAAGTTGGGTCGTGAAGCCTCCCACCCACTATCCGTCCGAACTTAGGCAAATTGAGAAAAATGCATCCACATCCATCCAATCGGACCATTGAAACCGTCCATTCTGTGGCAGATCGGTTCAGACCATTCAATTTTGATGGATCGGATGGATGCTTGCCCACCCCTATAACTAAATATACATCCATAATTACAAATAATATTTGATTTGTACCAAGGAATGGACTTGAGGGTAGCATCAATTTTTCATAAAATAGAACTAAAAATTGAACATTCTCTTTTTCTAAAAATGCAATGTATCATAGAGGTATAGATTCAAGAAAATTGAAGTAAACTAATGACTGCATACAAACCTCAAGATTTCTAAAGTCCAAAATATCCATGCGTTCCATTATGTCATGTAGCCTTCCAGGTGTGCCAATCAACAAATTTGCTCCTTCCTCCTCTATTTTCTTTATGTCTCCTTTTACTTCTGCTCCCCCAACAAGAAGCATGGAGCTAACATTCGACAATGTTGAAACGAAAGGTTGGGCAACATGGTATATTTGTGAAGATAACTCTCTTGTGGGGGATATTATAATCCCCATTACCTGTTGTCGATGCTGAAGGTAAGCTAACAGAAATCAAAGCAAACAATAATACTCACAAATGCACACAAAATGAAAGTGGTTGATCAAATAATGCAGTTAATTTAAGAAAATTTTACATGTAGAAGCACCTTTTAAATTGACCATAAGTACTAGTCTTAACCCTGTGATTAAGTATCACGAAAGTGCTTATTGAACATCAATGGGGTTCCTTGAGAAATGTCTCAATCAAACATCGCCATTCAAAATCCTAATCGTCTCTTTAGATTAGGTGATTGATGAGATATAATAAGAAATGAAGAGAAAAATAATTGTTTTTGATGTTTAGTTTATAAATTAGGTGAAAAATGATGAGAAATGGAGATAACGAGAACTCTCTTTGTTATGTCAATTTCATTTTTCACCAAAGCTAGTGAGATTTGATGAAAAATAACTGATTGGTTATATAATTTTTGTAATATCGAAAATGCCTATTACAATAGAAGGAAGAAAAAGCAATCCTGCGCATGTCCTTTCTCGCATTTGCTTTCTTACCATCTGAACATGATGTGAGAAAATACAATCATTAATTTCATTTTCACTTCTCAGCCAGATAAGAAACAACAATCACTTCTTTGTTTTCTCACCTATTAAACCAAATGCACTATAAATACATCCAACCCAAATAAAAAGCAACTGATAAGGCAATAACCACCCCCCATGTGGGCTTGTGTTTCATAAAACCCAACTGGATAAACTTTTCAGCATTTGTTTATGGGTTTTGTTTAAGTAAATAATTTTGTTGTTTACACATAGCGCCACCAAAATTGTTCCTCAATAGGAGGTCACAATTCAACTCCGCCCCTCTCCAAAAAAAAAAAAAAACAGAACAAAACAAAACAATTAGACTAAAACTCACATATGGGTTGTACAAATTTTTGCTTCCGAAGTGTCACACACAACTATAATTAGACTTCGAATTTTCTTCTTTTACCCATGCTCGTCAACATAATAAATAACAAGTTTGTATTTTAAAATTATATAGAACTACATAATTTGAGGTTTTTCGAGTATAGCTCAAGACAGTATAGTTGCATATATATATATATATATATATATGTATATGTGAACCTAGTGAGGTTTAAGGGAAGTGGAGGTGTGGCAAAGGAGCTCAACGATGGGGATGACGAAGGCTAGGGTTTGCCAAAACCGGTGGCGGCATCGACAGCAACATCGTTGGAGCTACAAAGCAAGGGGATGGTGGCGGCCTGAGCTGGGGTGCAGAACTCGAAACTGGGGTTAGAGCTTTGAGAAGCAATTCAGAGAGTGGGGTTGAAGAACCGAGTGTCTGTTAAGGCTCTGTTGGGAGTGGGTGGGAGTGGGAGTGGGAGTGGAGGAGGTTTCAATGACACCATGTCTGCGGCACACCAATGTCTCAAGTACTAAATTTTCCCAAAAGTTTTGATGTTTTTTCACTAAAAAGAAATGACTACACAAGCCGCTTCAGGTCGAGTGTAGCCTTTTTCATGGTTAAAGTTGCAAGGCTCAATCTTGGGCCAAGTGTATGCTTCTGATGGTTAAACTTGTTTTTTATTGTAAAATTTTTTGGCTGAAATCACTTATAAATTTCAATGTTCCAATATGTAATGTAACTCAATCTTAAAAGTTGGCTAACCTTGCTAATAGTGTGTTGGTTAAGATGTGAATAGAAGCAAAAAATTAAATTAAATTAAAACTTTGATACATATTTTATGTTAAAGCATGTATGAAGGTAAGGTGTTATATATGATAAAAAATAAATGGAATGATCTTAATACACAATGGATGGGAATCTTCACTTGTAGAGCTTAAGTTTTTAAGGAAAAACGAATTCTAAACATTTTACGTTAGACCCTGGTATTATACATGTGGGCTCTAGAATTTCTCCCAACATTTTATACATTTTAACATATTTTACTAACCTTTTCACAAAAAAACAAAGGTTATTCATCACTTGTAGGGTGGAGGTTGGAATTCCATCTTAAAATGGTTCAAGTAGACAGCTAATGCATTGTCATATATAGATCATGCTACAATTTTACCCACAAACTTTTATTTTTGGTGATTTTGTATACAATAATACTACATACTCGTACGAATTAACGTAGAAACACATATTTATGAATCACATTCATTCTAAGTATGACTCACATTACACGAACTTTGAATCTACATTATACAGCTTTTCGGGGTAAAATTTTGGACAGACGGTATTTTTGTTTTTCTATACATAAAAAAGCCCCAATTTTAAGACTTCACCTAACCATCTTAGGGCCAGCCCTGAATACATTCTAGCCAAGAAAAAACAAACTGACAAGGCGATACCACCCCATGTAGGCTGTGTTTTGTAAAACCCAACTGGATAAACTTTTCAGCATTTGTCTCTTCTTTTTTTTTAAGTAAATGCTTTCCTTGTTTACACATAACATCACCAAAAGCAACCAGTTCACCTAACAATGCATAAATACAGTTATCTTGTACTACATACAACCACCCAAAACACACACACACACACACACACACACACACACACACACACACACACACAAAATTAGGCTAAAACTTGCATATGAGTTATACACATTTTTACTTCCAAAGTGTCACAACTATAATTAGAAATGGAATTTTCTCCTTCTAACAACATAATAAACAACAAATTCGTATATAGTTAAAATTACATAATTCAAGTTTTCACATCTATACTATCCATCATAATTTTTTCATTTTGAATTTCAAATTTTGATAAATTTTCAATTTTTTTCTCCTTTCTACATTTAATTGGTTGATTATCATAGCATATATGTATGTGTGTGTGTGTGTGTGTATGAACCTGGTGAGGTTTGGGAGGACAGGAGGTGCGGCGGAGGAGCTCAACGAGGGGGACGACGAAGGCTAGGGTTTTGCCGGAACCGGTGGCGGCGTCGACAGCGACGTCCTTGAAGCTGCAGATTAAGGGGATGGTGGCGGCTTGAACCGGGGTGCAGAATTCGAAACCGGAGTCAGTGAGAGCCTGGAGAACCGGTTCAGAGAGTGGGGGTTGGAGGTCGGAGAACCGAGTGTTGGTTAAGGCTCTGTTTGTATTGGGAGGTTGAGATTCCTTCGACGCCATGTCCGTGGCTGCTCTTTGCTTCACTGCACCGCTGTTTCAAAAACTGGTTTTGTTTTTCCATAGGGTTTGGATCCTCTTTTGTAACAAAAAGCAAATGAATACCGAAGGCAATTCGGGCCGACTGTGGGCTTTCTGATGGTTAAAGTTGTAAAACTGAATCTTGGGCCTAATGTGGAGTTTGATGGTTAAACTTGTGGACCTCAATCTTGAAAGCTGGCTACTGGGTTGTTTTGAAAAGATAATTAAAAATTAATTTTTTTAATTTTTTTTTTTTGAAAAAATATATAAAAAATATGAGAGATGATGTGACTCAAAAAGAGTTAAAAGTTAGAAGATGTCTTTTAACTGTCTTCCCAAAATAGCCTTAATGTTCTATTTGATTTATTAGAATGAGATCGAATAGAATGATCATTAATTATCATCAAAATAAATAATTTATATGATGAGAGAGATGGGGAAACAAAGAGGAGAGAGAAGAGAATTGGGAAACCACTGCTTGACTATGGTAGTCTTTATCATTTTTTAGCCGAAAAGAAAAATGATAAATTTTTGTATTGTGTTACTTGCGTATATGATTTATACACTAAATAAGATCTAATGGGGTAGATGATTTAGCATCAACCAATGGCTAATAATTTATATATCGATAATGCTATAGAACAACAGAAAAATGGTCAAAACGACGTCGTTTTGGCCATTTAAGCCACTTTTGAGCCACAAAATTTGAGCTACGAGACATTTTCCTTTATATATTTGTATAATAATTCAAGCTTCAAGTTGCTTGGACTTTCTTATGTTTCTTTCCAAGTTTGATCTAAATTAAATTCAGAATTTTGAATTTCTGTCCAGACTCACATCAAATTAAAAACTTTGTTCCCCACCTTTAAAAAAAAATTCAAATTACACGAATTGAACCTGTACAAGTTGAACCCCTAAAATAAATAAAAAAATAAAAATAAAAAATAAAACTTTAAATAAGTATAAATTTCAAATAATGTATGCTAAGTATAAATTTCAAATAATGTATGCTAAGTTAGTGTTATATATGTAAATTTTGGAGTTTTTTCCCAACAAATTTGTCTGATATTGTTGCAGGTGCGTAGTCTTTCCAATTTCCAAACGTTCTACAGATTTTTAACATAATTTAAAAGTACATTTTTTTTTTTTTGTACCTAAGTGTTTGTCATCCTTTAAAAAAGTCAAAAAGTCAAAAAATCGCTATCTTATTTAAGTCACATCATTTTATTTAAGTCACATCACCTCTCTATCACATCATTTCATATCCAACCCATACCCAATCCATATTTCATAAAAAGTCAAAAAATAAATTTATTTAGAACATTTCAAACAACACATTCAAGTGACTTGGGTAGGGATAGCTAATGCATTTGCCATATATATGTCATGTTTTACTAGGGATGGCAATTTGAAACCATCCCGACAGGGATCCCCGACCCTGACTCCGATTTTAGCGGTTTTTCCTCGAAAAATACCCCCGACGGGGAGGGGACGGTATTTGAAAATCAATCCCCGATCTGTTCGGGGCCAGGGACGGTGATCAGTGTTCAAGCCCCGCCCCGGCCCGCCCCCGGCCCCGATCCCGATCCCCGCCCCGGTTCCCCGACATGAAATTACTAATATACCCCCGTTTATATATATAATATATGTTTCCTCCCTCCGATCTCACGCCGATCTCTCTCCCTCCCTCCCTCCGATCTCACGCCGATCTCTCTCCCTCCCTCCCTCCGATCTCACGCCGATCTCTCTCCCTCCCTCCCTCCGATCTCACGCCGATCTCTCTCCCTCCCTCCCTCCGATCTCACGCCGATCTCTCTCCCTCCCTCCCTCCGATCTCACGCCGATCTCTCTCCCTCCCTCCCTCCGATCTCACGCCGATCTCTCTCCCTCCCTCCCTCCGATCTCACGCCGATCTCTCTCCCTCCCTCCCTCCGATCTCACGCCGATCTCTCTCCCTCCCTCCGATCTGCCTCACGCCGATTCTGTGCCTCCCTCCGATCGCCGTCGTCCTCCATGCCATTGCTTCTGTCGTGTTTCCCCGACCCAGATCTGATGAAGATGAAGTTGAAAAAAATCATGGATTAGAGTTTTTATTTTTTATTTTTATGGATTGATTTTTTATGGACTGATTTTTATTTTTTATTTTTATGGATTGATTTCACAGCTCAGATCTGTATGGACTAATTTTTTTTATGTTCTCACAGATCTGTTGATGATGTTGTTGTTGTTGATGAGTGTGTGAATATATGGACTGATTTCATGGATTATTTTGAAGGACTGATTTTTATTTTTTATTTTTATGGACTGATTTCACAGCTCAGATCTGTATGGACTGATTTTTTTTATGCTCTCACAAATCTGTTGATGATGTTGTTGTTGTTGATGAGTGTGTGAATATATGGACTGATTTCATGGATTATTTTGAAGGGATCGGGACCGGGGACAGGGAATTTTCTACCATCGGGGATCGGGGACGGGGAGGGTGATCCCCGGCCCCGCCCCGCCCCGTTGCCATTCCTATGTTTTACTGACCACATGTCAATTACACTAATAGTCTTTATAATTTGAAATTTGTGTTATTTTAGTTATTAATTTTGTAATTGTAATATATTTGATTTTAAATTTTAAATCTCATTCTAAATAAGGACAATTAAAAATATTGTTACTTTATTTGAAAGGTAAAATCGTCATACAATTTATTTTGTATTGGTTAACTTATATGTTGTTTGAAATATAATGGACCTTTTTTTAATGAATAATGTCAGAACTTTTTTTGTTATAAAGTTCTGTTTGGTTTGATTTTCAGAATCTATTTTCAGAAGAAAAAAAAATTAAGTTAGTGGAAAAAAAATAAAAACACATCATTTTTACTTTTGAGGGGGTAGAACAATTTTTTATATTTATTTTTGTTAAATTAGTTTTTATTTTTTCAAAAGTAAAAAATAACGACAACTTTGATGTTATTATTAAACCAATCCATTAAATTAAAAAATCCAAAACTAAAAATATTCATATATTAAACCTATCGATTATATATACATTAAAAGTTTAATAACCATCCATTACATTATAATCATCCAAAAATCTCTGTTAACAACAAATACAATCATTTAGTACATGATAACTATTCAAAAATATCAACAAAACAACCACCCATTACATGATCATCATCTAAAAATATACTAAAAATTAATTTAGTAAAAAATTAAAAAAATTATCATTTTTATCTATAGTGAGTACAAATAATTTTTTTGATATTTATTTTTATCAAATTAGTTTATATTTTATCAAATTGACAACTTTGCCCCCTTAAAATGGAGTAACAATATTTTGAACGAGATTCAAAATTCAGAGTTAAATATATCACAATTGAAAGGTCAGAAACCAAAGTGACTCAAGTCCCAAACTACAGAGATCGTTGTGCAATTCGCCCTTTAAATAATGAGAATTTCATGCCCGTGTGAGAATAAGCTATTTTAGTTGACTTTTTAGTTTTTTGTGATTATTTTAACCTAACTAAAAAAGTTGTGTTTGAGATGATAGTTGTTTTTTTTTTTTTTTTTTAGTAGTTGATTTGATAGTTGTGAAAGAAAAAGTGAAATGATTATCATTTAAATGTAATATTTTATCTTATTAGCTAAACCCCACTTCCCCAACAATATAAATTTTGTTCACCAAAAAAATAAAAATAAACAAATAAACAAACAAACAATATAAATTTTCATATACTTAATATTTTTTTTTAATGTATTTTTAACATGTACATATATATTATCTAAATTGCTATACAACATAACAGAATAAATTATTTTATTTTTTTTGAAAAAAAAAATTACTGATGTAGCATGTATTAATAAAATTTGTGTATTTAAAACAGGACTCACAAGATTAATGTGATAACTCGACAAGGATAACTCATGTATGTAATGAAAGTTAATAAAATTTATTAATTTGTTTAGGATTTATTACATATTGTACCCCTAAATTATGGCCAAATTATAATTACATTCCTAAAGTATATAAAGAAAATTTATTTAGCTCCTAAATTATCGATTAAATCTTAAGTCCCGAAAATAATTAATTCGAACCTATTTAGCCGTTGAAAGGATTACAAAAGTAAAATATATGTCCACAAATATTATAAATTAGTAAAAGACTTCACCTAGTTAAAATTTTCAACAATGATTCATCCCACTAAAAACATCACCACTAATAGCACTAATGCATTAAAAAAGTAAAAAAAAATAAAAAAAAATACAACTCCAAGACCAAAACATCACATCATTAATGACGGGACCCACTGCCACCTAATTAGTGGGAGCACTAATTAGTGCTCCCAAGCATTTTTCTAAAATTTTATTAAAAAATTTTAAATTTTTATTTTGTGTTTGCAAAATGGGTGCTAGTTCTTTTGATGAATTTCCTTTGTAAGAATAAAAGTAATTATCCATAATATTTTTTTCCTTATCTTTTACGATGCCTATTTGCTTGTCTTTATCTAGTTTTATATACCGGATTTCTTTTATAATTTCTAATTAATTGTTTTGAAGTTTTTCATTAAGTTCTTTTATAACTTAATTAATGTATTATTTTTCTGTGTATTATTATTTGTAGCGAAGTATTATTTTTAAGAGAAATGCTGGAAACCCCCAGCTCCAAGGCACCCCCACTACCCCCACACACATGTGGAGGTTGATCATTGCATGAAGAAAAAAAAATAAAAATAAAAAAAGTAATGAACCAATCACACCCCACTGGGGCCTTGGGGTTCACCCCCAGTGGGGGTCTGAGCCTTTTTCCTATTTTTAAATTATCTTATTCTAGTTTTTCATTATATCTAATTCTCATATAATTTTATGAGCGAATTATACTAATAGTGCCTATAGTTTGGGGCATATATCATTTTGGTCCCTGACTTTTCAATTGTGACATATTTAACAGTAAATTTTAAATCTTATTCTAAATAAGGACAATTGAAGATACAATTGCTTAATTTTAACAGCAAAATCGTCAATTTGATAAATATAAATTAATTTGACAAAAATAAATGT